GGGGCGGGGCTCGGAGCGCGGGCGCGGCCGCTGCTCCGCCCTGGGCCTGGAGTCCCGGCGGCCGGCGGCGTGGCCTGTAGTCCGCACCCCCTGGGGGCTCCGCTTTCCCGCCCGGGGTCCTGCGGGGCGGCCTCGGGCGCTCGTCGGGAAGGGTCCTGAGTACCGGGCAGCCAGGCGGGAGCACAGGTCCAAACCTCTTTCTTCATTTAAGGAAAAAGGAAATGTCTTTGGCCGAACTCAAGATTAAACTTCGCACATGGTGGTTGTGAGCGGAGGGGCGTGAGGTCGACCTCTGCATGTAACAGGGGAGGTCTCGGGTCAGACTAAGTGTTGCTGGAGGATCCGACCTGCAAGGTGGCCTTGGAGGTTAACTCATGACAGCGTGTAAGGTTTGTGCGCCTAGGCGGTCCTCGCGAGGCTCCTGAAAATGTGTTAGGTAAGGCGTTGGTCCGAAGTGAGCTGATGGTTAGAAATAGGGTGTCATTTTAGACTTAGCGGAAGTGGAGTACAGGAAAGCTTTATGCAGTTCTCCCATCAGTTGTGAAAGTGTCGTTATAATGCGGATCTCGCAGCTTCTGTGGTTCTGGGATCTAAAGGTAAATCTGCCAATCCAATGCGGCTTTCGTCTTAAATTACCTAAACTCTGACCTTGCAGATTGAAATCTTAGAATGGTAATTCCCGCGAATTAAACAGTTGGGCGCCGTGTTGGGAAGAAGAGTAAGGGCGGAGTTCGTCTTCTGTTAGATGATAGAAATGTATGAAATACCTGAGTTGTAGGGTAGAGGGAGGACACAGCAGCTGTTCTCCAGCCTTGGTCACAGCCCTGCTTGAAAATGGGTGTAGGAAAGGGAGATTGTGCCGCATCTTAAACTCCAAGAAGCTTAATATAGTGGATGGGGCTTGATGACTACATAGACCTAAGGTTGAAACCATGTAACTATTTGTGTAACTTCTGTTAACCTCAGTTTATTCTTCTGTAAAATGGGATAATGACTGATAACTTGAAAGGGGACCTTGGGGCCGGCCCTGTGGCGCAGCGGTTAAGTGTGCACATTCCCTTTCGGGGCCCCCGGTTCCAGGTTAGGATCCTGGGTGTGGACATGGCACGGCTTGGCACGCCATGCTGTGGTAGGCGTCCCCACATATAAAGTAGAGGAAGATGGGCATGAATATTAGCTCAGGGCCAGTCTTCCTTAGTAAAAAGAGGAAGATTGGCAGCAGTTAGCTCAGGGTTAATCCTCCTCAAAAAAAAAAAAAAAGTGGACCTTTTAAAGGGTACCAGAAAAAGGAATAATGGATGTGAAAATGCCTGAAATATAAAAAGCACTCTGTCAATATTAACTATTAGCTACTATAATTTCCTGGGTTTTAGCAAGATACTTTCTAGATTCCTTGTAGGCCAAAGTTTTTTTGTGTTATCTGTGAAGCATACTAATTTTGATTTTTTTTAGTGAACTACAAATCCCTCCTCCCTTGAAAATCACTGTTAAATTAGGAAACGAAAAGGTGGGCTTGCCTTGAGCATTTTTCTTTGTCATCAACAATAAATCAGATTAGTATGTTTTGGAATAGTTTTGTTGGTCCTGCCTCTAAATATGAGGTTTCTGTGTGCTTCTGTGACTGTGCAGCTGGGTAAAGGCCTCACTTAACTGCTCAGTAACTAGTTTTTTGGGTTTTGTTTTGCAAACAGATGTCTGTCACAACACCTATGAAGGGCATCTCGGGAGAAAGGGAGGGTTTGTTTTTGATGATCTATTTTAGCTGGAAGAGAGCCCTAGAGATCCTGTGTTAAACCAGCATTACCCAGGGGACAGTACTAGAAGTAAAGCTTGCAGCCTCTCTTCATGGGGCACACAGCTTCTCAGGTAGTAACTGTTCTGATCATTTTCTCAGCAAGCATCTGGTAAGCCTTCACTATTATGTCCCCCAAAAAGCCCCTGATCTAATGTAAAACCCTTTGGGCAGCAGGACACTGTAAAGAGTGAGAGCTCAGACCCTGCAGCCAGTTGGCCTGAGTTCTCGTCCCAGCACTGCAGAACCTTGGGACAGTGTCTGACTTCTTTGGGCCTCAGCTTTCTTGTCTGAAAAGTGTTAGCTTGCTTACAGGGTTTTGAGATGTAGAGGAGATAATCTATGTGCAGCACTTGAAATAGTGTCTCGCCAGTGGTGTATGCTCAGTAAGCGTTAGGAATTTGATAGTGGTGGTGTAGGAAACAAAGAGTATTGTGAGTGCTGTAGATGTTTTTTCCTAGGTTCAGGGAGTAGAGGGGGCCACGTTAAAGGAAGCTTTTGGGAGGGAGAGAGGAGCTGAGCTGTGAAGTCTGAGTGGGATTTAGCTAAACCAAGCTGGAATGCCAGTGTAGGGGTACCTCCAGTTAATGGAGGAGCCTTGACCAAAGCCCCTGGAGGTGAGAGGGTGGGGTGGTACTCACCAGATAGGTAAGTGAAGGTGGATCAGAGTAACCTCGAAATGACACAATGGAGATTGAATTTTTTTTATCCTCCACACTGGTGGAGGCAGTAGAAAGTTTTTAAGTTGATTACACACAGCCTCAGATTAGCTTTTTGGAAAAACTGGGCTTACCTACAATACTGTGGCATTGTATTAAAAGTAGGGAAGGCTCATCCACCTGTCCTGGCAGCTTTGTGTCTGCCTGTGATTCCAAAAGGAAAATAACTACTTAGCAGAGACAAGCATTTTAATCCAAATCTGGAAGCTGAGAGAGTACTTACAGAAGGCATGAAGAAACCCTTAGGTCATTCCAGGCAGCCTTCTCTCCTAAAAGTTATCTTCAAGGGTATTCTATATGTGCCTGATGACAAGGCAAGGTTTCCCGCAAAAGTGTCCCTCTGAAAAGAGGATATCACCTCGTGTTCAAACCTCTCCTATTGAAGGACACTCAGTTACTCTTGGAACAACAAGATGCTGTTTGGGAAACACGTATTGGGCTGAAACAACCTCATTCGATGCTAGTTTGGGATATTTATAGAATCAATAAGTGAGTGATGAGTGAAAAAAAAGTTCTGCCTACCTGAATGGGGATTGATGGCTCGGGTTAAGATTTCCAGTGAGTGCATCATGAGGATTCACAAAGTGCTCGCTCATAGCCGATTTGGTAGATGCGAAGGTGGTGTGCTCTAGAAAGTGGAATTTGATGATTCAGAGCGGCTTAAGTGACCACAGGGACTCTGGTGTTGAAGATGAAAGTGAAGAGTTAGAGTAAAATTGTTTCAGGAATTAATATATTGCCTTATATATTTTTAAGTACATAGATGTAAGCTAATAAATTAAAGATTATAAACAGACATTTGACTATTTCATCTACAATCCTAAAAGATTTTTTTTGTTAACCAAAAACTTTTCTTCCTAATTTTCTCATTGTAAGAGTAAGGTTGTCTCAGGTTTGAACTTTCCTTTTAAAGTTGGATGTTTTAACAGAAATTAATTGCTACTCTGTTTCTCTGCTGAAGCAAATTCCCTTTTCTCTTCTCATTTTTTTAACTTTTAGATGGTTTAAAGAATGTTGTATACTGACAAAGTTTGGAAAACACTATAGAGAACTTCCATTCATAATTCTTTGTTTAGCAGTCGAATAAAATAGTCTTCTGGTAAGATGTCTTGAAATGTATCTATATCTTAATCACTTTACAGTGTTTGGTAATAATAAAAGGTTGCCCTGTTTTTAGTAACAAAATACTAACTTTTGGAAATTTGATAGTTTAGTAATCAGAAGTGTTTTGCAAAACTTTGTGAATTAACATTTTGAAGCTAAGATATTGATGCTTTAGTTTCACGAAGTAATACCATGGTCTAGAACTGTGTTGTCCGCTGCAGTAACCGTTGGCCTCATGTGGTAACTTAAATTTAATTAAAATTAAAAATTTAGTTCCTCAGTTACACTAGCCACATTTTACTTGCTCAATAGCCCTTTGTGGCTGGTGGCTACCATACTGACCAGTACAGACCTAGCACATTTCCATTATTGCAGAAAGTCCTGTTGGACAGTACTACTTAAGATGAAAAATTGAAGATCACTCCACTCTGAGACACACACAGATGTTTCAGTGTCATTAAAGTATCTCTGAAACCTCACTTGCTGCATTTGAAGTCAGTTTCAGGGAGAACTGTAAACATAGGGAAACATTTCTCCTTCTTCTCTGTTTCTTGTCTGCAGTAGTGTTGCCAAATAGAGAATCCATGAAGGTTTTCTCTGTGAAGTCAAACAGTAAATTATGCGTTTTGAGTGAGAGAGTGTGCCGTACTCTTCCATGTTAATGAGGTTTTGTAGAGAAATAATTTCTCTGTCCTGTAAATAGTATTAAAGTAGGAACCAAATATCTGTGGATTTTTTTGGTTCATAAAAATTCAGAGAAATCATGAGCCTAAAGTAAACTCTCAAGAATTCCAGGCAGAAGCTAGACAAGGCTTAGTTTATTTATTGTTTGTTTGTTTGTTTTATTTCAGAAAGACTGGCCCTGAGCTAACATCTGTTGCTCATCTTCCTCTTTTTGCCTGAGGAAGATTGTGGCTGAGCTAACATCTATGCCAGTCTTCCTCCACTTTGTGGGATGCTACCACAGCATGGCTTGATGAGCCGTCTTAGGTCTGCGCCCGGGATCCAAACGTGTGAACCCCAGGCCACCAAAGCAGAGTGCACAAACTTAACCACTACACCACTGGGCCAGCCCCTACTCACTTTATTTTTAATGTGAGTTTCAAAGATGAGAAAAGCCCTGTCTCAGAGCCCCCTCCATCTGTTTGGGGGAACTAAGGAACAGTGATGGCAGGAGTGGACAGCCTGTATTGGCAGTTCGGGGTTGGGGGGAGGGGGATTTTAAGTTTGGGAGAAGCATAATCAGATTTGTCCTTTACTTTGCCTGCATTCTAAAGGGTGGTTTGAGGTAGTGCTAGAAGTGGGAAAATACTGGAGTAGTTCAATTGAGAAGAGATTTGTGCTGTGAAATAGTAGCAGTGAGGATAGGGTAGCAGCAGTGGCTCCAAGAGAGAATCCTGTGTAGAATAGGAGTTACTGGCTGCTTAGAAGTGAGAGGGAGAGAGAGAAAAGAATCGTAAGATGATTGGGTTTTTTTGCTCTAGTGGTGGGTGGTGGCACCATTAAGCTGACTAGGAAAACAAGGAGAAGGACGAGGTCTTAAAGGAAGATAAATTTGAGCACAGTGAATTTCAGATGTTTGCGACTTCTGGGTAGACATGCCTTTTAGACTTGAGCTCAGGAAGGTGATCTGACTAGAGACTGTAAGTCTTGGGTAAGTAGTGTGATGATAGGGAATGTGAAGAATGAGAAGCAGACCAAGAATGGAAGAGGAGGAGCCAGAAAGACACGTTTGCAAGAGAGAGAGTGTTTCAAGGGAGGAGGTATGTTCAGCAGTGAGAGACCATGTAGGATAGTGTGGAAAAGTGACTGTTAGATTTGGCAAGAGTTGAGGAATCTCAAGTCTAGTAAATAGCCTGCTGAGATAGGGAGTAGGCTCATTAGCTGGGTAGGGAGACTGGTGCAGATTTGGAATGGTGAGGGTGGGAAGCTATAAGGAAAGAGAATAGTTGACAAGAAAGACATCATGGAGGTTGCCACTGGTGGTGGAGAAAAGCAATTTCTAGTGACATCTCCCTGCCTGGTTGTATGATTTCTGCTCCTCCTCCCCCCACAAAAAAAAACCCTCCAGGTTCTACATTGCATCCTGAGCTCCCAGCTATGAGCCTTATTTGTGTGCCATTTATTTCTTGGGACATGATGGAAAAGAGCACAGCTTCAGGTGTATTCATGTCAGTCTGTGATTGAGCAAAGACTGAATGTGAAAGGCCATTATAATTTTAAAATTATATGAGGTATGACTGAGTCTAAGAGTAGAATGGCTCATTTATTTTTCAGCTGTGATTTATATTTTCACAAAGCTAATTGAATACACTTTATCAAGATGATTAATGCAAAAGCTTAGATTTTTAAGTCCTACTTAGAATGACCTTTTGATAGCTATTACACCCGTCTAGACTGCTGCAAGTAAAGAGAAGAAAACTAATATTTGATTACCTAGTAGGCACTTTACATGACATCTCATTTAACAAAAAATACAAAATAATTTTTATCTGTTTTTAAGAAAAAATTTACAGTTGGAAAAAATATATTTACTTAGGAAAAAACCAAACACCTAGCAACCTGTCAGTATACTCAGTTGGGGAGCTGATTTGAGGATGGTGAGTTTACCTGAATTTGTTTTGAATTCATCCATACTCAAAGCTGCCACCTTATATCGAGGGGGTGCTGTCCATGTAGTACTCTACTGGCATTTCATGGAATTGTATAGTACTTAGCCCGTGAAGTAATGGGCTTGGGGGTGTCCCTCTAAGCACCCCTCCACTAACCATAGGCATTGAACATAAGCGAATGGGGTTAGGATGCAGTGAAAAGATTTACTCAGCTGCAGTCCTGTATTATTATCATCATCTTGAGCATGCATGGGTTCCCTGTATCTTTGCTTCCCGTGTTTCTGTAGTTCGGTATGAAGAGTGTAGCTGTAGTTTTTCCTGCATAGTTATTACTTTGAGACAGGAAAATGATCCTGTCCTGATTTTATATAGCAACTTTGTTGAAGTATTAGTTAATCAGTAGGCAACTGTTGATATGTGAGAAATAGATACTTATTGTGTCAGAATCCTCATTTTAATTTCCAGAAATACTAATAATGTGACATGAAGAGAAAGAAATGTGGTCATCTATTTTTACCTTTAAAAGTTAAGATATTTTATGTAAATTGAAAATTATGAGAAATCCTGAAATTTTAAGAAAGATGAAATTATATCCAAACTCAATTTAAATTTAAAAGATTTTATAATTATGGGAAAAGCTAAGTAGGTAACTTGAAATTGCAGTATTAATATCATGTCTGAATCTCTCAAAAGACAGGTCTATTTTAAGGAGGTTTTTTAAAATGTGTCCATTTATGGTCTTGGTACTATGGAAATCACTTGGGGGAGGGGAACTGATTTCTCTGCACAACTCTTTTCATTAATTATTTCACTTGAAATATGTATGCATTGGAATCAAATCCAGTTAAGTGGATTGGGTCATGTCTCTGGTATTCTGTTGAGGGTGGCTGTAAAAGGGAGTTAATGCCAGTATTCCTGCCCTTAAGATTCTTGGACCTACAGTTGGCTCACCACCCATCCTCAGGGAAGGTCTTTTCCCATAAATGGTGGTTTGGATTCAGAGAAACGGCCATTTGGGGAAATTTATTAGAATCAGTATTTTAAAACTAGTTCCTAGCAATCCCAAATATGGCCAGTTTTTGCTGTTGTTCATTCTCCTTTTTGTTTCCTCTTTCATAGCTTTCATTTCTTTTCCCCTCCTCCTCAGACATGCATATACTTTGTCCCACCTTGAGGGCATTGTGTCATTGCAGGGTCTATTCTCTGTCAGTTTTCCTGTGTCTTTCACATGCATGGTGTTTTCCTGGTAGAGAGGTGATCTCTTACTCTGATCTTATTTGGAACACTAAGGGACACACAGGGATACAAGCTTGAGTTCCCATGGCAACAAGAGATTGGCATTAGGAAATCTGGAAAAATTTTAGTCTCAGCTAAAATACGAGGACTCGGGCTGCTCTGGAAGAATTTGGAGACTAAGTGCTCTTGAAGTTAGATTAAAAACAGCTTTAGCAAGCAGTATTGTAGGGGTGTGTGATGGTGGGAGCTGTGGGGTGGGGGAAGGCAGAGGTCCTGGTTTGACTAGTCCTGACTTTGGGCCAAACTGGGGAAGGGCAGTACTGTCACAGTCTTTGTATGCATTTACTTTTTTTTTTTAAATAGAACATTGAATCAGAATCTCTGGGACTGAAATTATTTATATATACCCACTCACAGGAGATTCTTGTGAGTAGTCAGGTTAGAGAACCATGGAGAATCACTGATATAGTCAAACTGATGTAGTAATGCGTATTAGTAACCACGAAGAAACAATTCTCTCTCTTCGTTGATGGGCAGATAATGCTTAGAGCAGGGATCCCCACTCTCGAAGTGTCAGAATCCTTGTATTAGCAATAAAAAAAATCTTAATTAAAAACTAATCTGAGTTATCAATACAGTGAAAGACCATAACTGAGTGAGGCAAATTCCATAGTGAAAAGATGGTTCAGTATTGGAAAATAGGTTAATATATTTCATTGTATACTGAATCTCAACTGTATCAGACCCAGTCTCCCTCCTTTTTAACAAATATTTTATACTCTAGATCCAGAAATGAAAAACATAGATAATTTAATCTTTCTGTACACGTAGTTTAAAATAACGTATTTAGGATGTCCTAACATTTTATATTTATATATAGATATATGTGTTTTAGTATATGTGTCTTCAGCCTTCAGTGTTTGTCGTATGACTCTTAGAGAATTGAAAAGTGGATCTTCAGAGTACATTTTAAAAGGGCTACCACCACTTAGTTCAGAAGGATTATTTGCAAATGATTTTGGAACAATTTGTTTGCTACAGTATCTGGGTAAAATGTTTGGTTATTCACCACACATCACACACTAAAAGAAATTGCAGATGGATAAAAATTGGATATAAATGAATTTTTAAAAAGTTTTTAAGAAAAAATAAATAACAGATTTCTGGAAAGGGAGAAATTTAGTCTTTAAAAAGAATGGAGGAAATCACAAAGGAGAAGTCCAGTGCGTGTAATTGAAACTGAAAACTTAAGCACATCCAAATAACTTACTGAAAGCACATCTTACACACACAAAAATTGGGAACCCTTGATTTAAGAATGTTATTTGGTGGGGCTGATTACATGTGTGTGGATAATGTCACATGCATTCCAAAATGGACACCATATTTGGATCTTGAAGGGGAAAATATTTTTTATACAACAGAAATGAACTTAGAAAATTCATCCAGCTGTCGCTGGTCATCTGGACTGCAGTATTCTTTACTTCTGGCAAAGTAGTATTTGCAGCCCATGGCAATATCAGCGGTTCCTGTCATTGTTTTCTTTTTTTAAAGATTGACACCTCAGCTAACATTTGTTGCCAATCTTCTTTCTTTTTTTTTCTTCTTCTTCTCCCCAAAGCCCCCCAGTACATAGTTGTATATGCTAGTTGTGAGTGCCTCTAGTTGTGGCATGTGGGACGCTGCCTCAGCATGGCCTGATGAGCAGTGCCATGTCCGCGCCCAGGATCCAAAGCGGCGAAACCCTGGGGAGCTGAAGTGGAGCACACGAACTTAACCACTCGGCCACCTGTCATTCCTGATAATAAATTTAGTAGTCAAGGAAAATAATTTTTCTGTGGACGAGGAACCCTCAGATTAGCTTGAATTATCAAAAGCAATTTACCCCTGTTGAATGCATTTCCTACTATTTTCCTTTCTTATAAGAATTCATGAGATGAATTTTAACACATATGCATACCGTCTTACCATTTTGATGGTTTTCTGTACCTGTGATTACAAATAAAGAATGAAAGAGGTAAGTAATATGATAAAAATGAAAACACAGTGCTCAAATCCGTTATTAACCTCTCACTTCCTCAAAATCTGTTTGTCCACTTTCTCAGTTTCTCAGGTCTTTGATTTTGTAGTGCCTCCTGCCTGCTTTTTTGGCTGGTTCACTGCTAATTAACACCTCTCTCACAGGGTAGGCAGGAGAAATAAAGGACCCTGACCCTGGCATTCAACTGGTCCTGTTTGCTCTTTGTTAGCATCTCTAATCAGGCAGACTGAAGTCATGGAAATAAAAGGAGTTTGGGGGCAATCTATGGGGTTTTATTATCCATGATAATCTGACTTTCCATAATTGAAGTTGGCTGTATTGTCATTGGGAAAATAGATAAAATGGAAGAGAGCACCAGGTTAGTAATGAAGAAACTTAGTTTTGTGTCTTAACTAGGTCACTTAACTAGCCATGTGCTAGTCTTTCTCTACTACTTATTTTTCCTGTCTGTGATGTCCTGGTTGTATTGGATGATCTCCCAGATCCCTTATAGTTCTGTGGTTCCCCCCGAAGGTCATGAAACGAGTGCGCACCGAGCAGATTCAGATGGCTGTGTCCTGCTACCTCAAACGCCGGCAGTACGTGGACTCAGATGGTCCCCTGAAGCAAGGACTGCGGCTGTCACAGACTGCTGAGGAGATGGCAGCCAATCTCACAGGTAACCATGGGGGCTGCTCCTGGGGGTGAGCTGGAGCACAAGAACTCATGTCAAGGTCCACAAGAAATGATTTTTCCTCTTCTGGACATAGTGCCAGATTACGCACACTGTCCAACAACCTCAGTGGGCAGCGCCAGATGAGTGGTGCTGGCTCTAGAACTGGCTGTCCTTCAAAGCCATCCTTGGATGCCACTTGTAAAAACGTCCTATCCTAATATATCCTGCCTCAGAATTCTAAATGATTTTATCTGTACCTGAGATTATGTGTAACTTGTTCCTTCTAGAAACTGTTATCCTATGAGACCCGTAGGCTAGAGTCCCTGTACCCCTGTTGCATGTGTCCCCTCCTATAGCCTCACCTGTGGAAGTCAGGTTTGCTGGGTGAACAAGTCCTTTGGATTCAGTGGCTGGAAATAGTAACACAATAGATATGTTCCTGAAGCTTTTAAAATTTGTTTTTGTTTTTTGTTTGTTTTAAAATTGGATTCTTTTGTAGAAAAATTTGTCTTGAATCTATCTGGAATAATAAATAATTGTTCCTTAGCTATTTTGTGAATTCAGGTTTTTATGGGATACAATTTTCTTATATTGAATTTGTGTAGTAGAGATTTCAAGCAAGTTTTTTTTGTTTTTGTTTTTTTTCTTTTCTGCTTTTTCTCCCCAAATCCCCCCAGTACCTAGTTGCATATTTTATTTGTGGGTCCTTCTAGTTGTGCCTTGTGTGACGCTGCCTCATCATGGCCTGATGAGTGGTGCCATGTCTGCGCCCAGGATTCAAACCGGTGAAACCCTGGGCCACCGAAGCGGTGTGCGCGAACTTAACCGCTTGGCCACTGGGCCAGCCCATGGAGCAAGTTTTACTGCCGTGCTTTTAGGATGATGAAAGGCTGCTCTAAAGCCTGTGTGTGGAGTTCAAGGTTGCAGTGCTTTCTCCAGCTCAGCCCTGCTCATCTACTCAGACTGGGCCCTTCTCTCTTCTTTGTTCCTCTGCTTTCTTCTGCTCTTCTATGTATCTGTCACCACCTACTCCATCTCTTACTGATTTCAACCTTCATCGTGCTAGCAGTAGCTACCTCAGCTTCCTCTTTTCTTATTACCTTCAAAATCAAGGACCCAGATCCTTTATGCTATAAGGGTGTATTGATTGCCATTGCTATGGAAAAGGAGTGATGAGACAATAAAAACCTGAGGATGTCCTCAAAAGAGTGGTTCTTGACTCCCTCTGAGACAGTAGAAGAAGCCCAACAGGGATTTGCCTTCTTATTCTTCAGCATCAAATCTACACCATTCTTCCTTTCCTTCAGACTCCGCTGAGTTACCCTTGAAAAGAACAGGGCCTGTTGATGGGCTTGGAATACATTAATAAATTCCTCATTGTTTGTAGTAGGATAGCCAATTTACAGGGCCGTAGTAATTTCTTCTAAACTTGGCATCACAGTCTTTAATGTGCATGAATAATCTCGTACTGCCCTGCGTTCATTAGAACGTGAGGACAGTAATTCAATGCTGTTGTTGACAGAAAATAGGAACAAGCACATTACACAGACTTCTAGAACTTCACTCTTCTTAGTTGTCTTAGTTTAGATAGAATGGCTTATTCGGAGAGTCACTGTTGTTTCTGGAAACCTACTAGGAAATGTGAGAAACGTGAAATGAGATTATCATAAGATTTTGTCCTAGGTGTTTCTGTCCATTGAGTAATCTGAGTAATTATATCTTCATTCAGCAGGAACATACTGAACATCTGCTGTAGGCCAGGTGCTGAAAAGTTCTAAAGATAGCTAAGATTCGATTCCAGCTCCTGAGGAGCTTAGCATTATAGCCAGGAAATTAGGCAGGTAAATCAATAATTAAAAAGGTATGATGTAGTTAAGTTCTGTGAAGGAGAGATGCCCCTGGTTCTGTAGGAACAAAGGAGATAGTCATCTAAGTTAGCTTGGCAGGTCAAGGAAGGCTTCCTAAAAGGTCTTGTGGTTCCTAGCATGTAGTCATGGGTCAGTAAATAGTAGAAGGAATGAGCTGAGTTTCAAAAGAACAATTAGGAGCTAAAGGGGGAGCTGGGGTGGGGGGAAGTGGCACTGGTTGGAGGAGGGTATCCAAGTTATCAAATGCGAATTTTAGAGAGATCACTCTGATGGCTTTGTTGATTGGGAAAGGCCCAGATTAGAACCAGGGAAGTTAGTTAGAAGGCCATAGTGCAATCTAGTGAGAAGTGAAGACAGTTAAGGAAGTGGTAATAGGAATGGAGAGGAGAGGATAGATTTTAGAACTCCGTTGGACTTAGTGATGGATAAACTCAGGGTTGGGGGCAACATGAAGAGGGAAGAGCCTCCTCCTCCTTTGTGTAGCCTTGCAGCATATCCTCCTTCCAGCTGTCTCTCTCAGTCCTAGTAGTGCACATTGACTTTTTCTCATCTATATCTCTCTTTCTATACATTTTATATTGTTCCTTCCTCAGCCCTGCTGCACTAATTACTGTTCCCACATCCATGTTCCATCTCCTAAAATGTATTACTGTTTCATCCAGATTATTGTTAAAGATGGCTTCTGTCAGTCCCCAGCTACCTTTCCCCAGTGTCTTCCTTTCCCCTGCAAAGGGGATAAGAAAATTTTGTCCTCCTTTTTAGAAAGCATAAACTCACAGAATAGACATTAAATGCATATTTTCATACTGAATATTCAGACTCCAGACTCCTTCCCCCATTCTGCTGCCCAGAACACTGGCAGCCAGGCACCTATCCTCCGGGAAGGCAATGAAGAGATTCTTCCTGGTGAATCAGACCTCCCCAAGAGAAAAGACATAAAGACATTGACATTGAGAAATTGTCCATCCAGGTCATCCTGGGTGATAAGCACATGGAGTTTTCATCAGCTCTGTAGTGCCTCACTTTCAGCTGTGCACGCTGGCAGCTATGGGCTGTCAGACCCTACAAGAAACTAATCTACTTACTATGAAGAATAGAAATGGAAAGAAACGGTGAGAAACCACTTGGGGAAAGCAAACAGTAAAGAGAAGAAAACTTCAAAAATACCATCAACGATAGCCTTGAAACAAGAAGAGAATACTATTTTTAAAAAGAAATTTCAGAGAGCAACAACAAATTTTGTAAATTCTAATACATGATAGTGAAAATGAAAAATCAGTAGAATGGTTGAAAGTTTGAGGAAGCCTCCCACAAAGTAGAGCAGAAAGACAAAGAAATGGAATATGGGAGAGAAAATAAAAGGATCAGTTCAGGAGCTCCAATCTCGAAATAGTAGGAGTCCCAGAAAGAGAAAATAAGAAAGATTCAACAAAATCATTCAAGAAAATTTCTCAGAACTGAAAGACACAAATTTCCAGATTGAAAGGGCCCATGAAGTGCCCAGCACAATGGTTGAAAATAAACCCGCACCGAGGCACATTATTCTAAAAAGTCAGAACATGGGGTCTAACTCAAATTAGTTCCCTGAAGTTACATACCTATCCTCTGTCATTCAGCTTATTTATCCTGTGCTTTATATAAACTTTTTCTTTCCTCTACTGCCATTGTATTGGGTATCAAGAGGGAGAGGAGACAGATATGTGTTATCAGTCTGTCATAGTTAACGAGAAGCCCCAACATACTTTGAAAATCTACTGATTTGCATATGTAACACCCCCTTCCATCCATCCTGCCACATATTGCATTAATAATTGTCTTTCCCACCCCCATCTTGTATAACTTTCCTTCCTCAGTCCAGTCAGAATCTGGGTGCGCCAACATAGTGTCTGCAGCCCCATGCCAGGCAGAGCCCCAGCAATATGAAGTACAGTTTGGACGACTACGGAATTTTCTGACCGGTAAGTCCTCAACACTAGGAACTTTTTCTTATTAAGAAAGAGTAGTGCAAATCTCCCTCAAAACCTACAATATTCTAGGTCTGGTATAGGTACTAGGGATTCAAAGGCAGTTTAACACAGTCCTTGCATTCAAAGTTATGGTCTGTTGGAATTCCTGAGAGAGTGAAATCATGAGGTTAAAATTTGCAGGGACTGGAACTCTGGGCATTTTATTCACTGTTTTATCACAGCCTTCAGCACAGTGACGGGGACTTGGGTGGGATGAGTGAAAGAAAAATCAGCCATGTAGAGGAACATCCTTAAATGCAGCGTGTGTGAAATGCGCCTCTCAAATACGTGTTGATATCACCACTAATAATAGTACACCTCAGAATGGTCTCTTCCTCTTATTTCCAAAAGCGCAGGACAATGGTCCTTGTGAATCAGCAAGACAAAAAAAATTAGAAATTGTAATTCAGACCAGTTTACGGGGGTGTAATGACCACTGAAACACAAAATCAACAGATAGGAGTTCTATTCAGTTCTTCTAACTCACTGTATGACTTTTTAAATTAATCACTTAAAAAATGGAGTCAGCTTCTCCAGGGCCTTCATTTCCTCCTATGTGAAATGAAGAATGCAATTCAAAGGTAAAACCAAGTGATTTCATCCAGTCACAGGATGACTGATTATAATTTTACTGTTGGAAAGATTATTCCAGTAAGAGTAACCATGTTGATTCTGGTTATTGATCAAAGTCTTTTGTTGAATACTTCCTTTTTGCAAAACTCCTTGAGGTGTAAGATCTGCTCTTGAAGAATTGAGAATGATTAGCTGATACTGGTTAGTGGGAAATTGTAATTAAAATACTTTGAAGCTGTTTTATTTTTCTTTCCTTATTTAAACAATCCTCAGGTTAACAATTTTTAATGATAAAGATGCATATAAAGTGATCAATATATGAACCAAAATAATATACCTACTTTTATACAGACTTAGAGTTGTCCTAATTTTACTTGACCCTCATAATGATTAATATTTTATAAAGAAAGAATCCACATTTTCTGTATTCTGTGGTTGGAGAAAATGACCAAAATTTTACAGGAAATAAATGTTACAAAATAAAACCCTAGAGAGGATTATCTATCAGCTAAGTGATAGAATTCATAAGTAGAGAATAGTCTTTTACATCGTTACGAAAATGAAAAAATCATGAAGATTAATGGTTTAGTAAAACAAATCTATTATGTTTAAATTGGAAAGAAAGGTTCCATTAATGTCCCCCAATCATGTGAACGTTAAATATCTCAGAACAGTGACCAGCTGCTTTGCATCTCCACGAAGGATAAAAAAAATTGAATTTCTAAGTAGGGTTTCATTTAGAGGTAAGCAAGAACTTGGAGATAATGAGCTAGTTTTAATCATTGGCATTGGTTTTTGAGGCTTTAGAGCAATTTATAAAAATTTTTACATCAATTTTTAGAAAGTTATTTTACTCAGTTTTTAAAATATTATATTTATCTCCAGGATAGATTTCTCTTACCACTCTAGTGGTGCAGAAGCTGGTTTAGAAAGAAATGCCTAGCCTTTTTCGTGCTTCCTATTTCATTCATTCAACCAATATTTTATGTTAAGCACTGACTACATGCCAGGCATTACAATAGAGGATATTGATGTGGAGCATGCCATCCAATGAAGGAAACAGACTAAAGCATAAAGCCCGCAGTTTATCATTATAATAGTGATGCACTCCATATACTTATGCTATGAGATGGCTCTTGGCATGGACATGACTTATTTTCATTATGAATGACACTCAGATGACCATAGTGACACTGTGTAGATTTTTGTTTATAGTTTTTAATCACTGAAGCAAAGCTATAATAAAATGGACTCATTGGAATAATTTTATTATAGAACTACAATGACTTTTTGCAGTGAAGAATTAATACATTTAATTTACCACTAATGTGATTTATCCTGGCGCAGTTTTCTGTTCAAATTTCTCTCTTTGGGCTCTTAGTTTTTCTTAAATATTTGGTAGAGCTCTTAATATAGTGTAGTGGTTGACCCCAAGTTTTTGAAGGTGCTGCTTTTTCCTAATATATGGTACTTACTTTATTTGTATCTCATAGTTTCTTTTGCCTAGGACTTTGCATTTCAATAAATTATAATCTGTCAACCTTTTCCTTTGCAATTTTATGTCGTTTCAAAACTGAGAAAATTGTTATTTTCTCTATAATTTAATTCTTTAATCCATTGGTCACAGATTATTTGGAGGGGGTGAATATATATGTTTTCCCTTATAGACTACTTTTCCTGGAACATTTTTCTCCACTCTCAGGTCTCAGAAGAGCAGTCAACCAAATTGAATGAATATTTCCTGAGAACCAAGATAAAGTATAAGATGTAGTCATTAATCTAATTTGGAAGCTAATCCTAACATAAGAAGGCTAAAAGTGAAAGTAAAAATTTTTAAATAAAATTTGAATATTGTAGAATTGTTTTCTCAGACTTGTATGAGATCAATTGCTGAATTTTGTACACACAGCAATTGCATTTGGAATGGAAAGAGAATGTGATTTTGACAGGGGTAGTCAGAGAAGGCTTTACTGAGTAGGAAGTGGGATTTAAGTTAGCACTTGGAAGATGGGTTGGATTTCAGTTAACTGGAAGGGGAGGAGGAGGAGGATTGAGGGTACGTGGAAAGACATGAGCAAAAGGGCAGAGATGAGTTCTTTGTGTAGGGTAGTGAAGGAAGTAGTTTTGTTGAGAATGAGGCTTTCAAATTAGAAATGGAGCTAGATTGAAGAGAGACCTGATCAGCAAGCAAGGCGAGAAGTGGAGACAACTATTGATGTGAATATTAGTCTGAAAGCAGTTTCTAAAAGAGTTTGTAAGAAGTTTGTAAGAGGCGTGAGTAGGAGGCCAGCCTAAAGTCCACTGCAAAACTTAAGAAGTGGGGTGAAGAAGGACCAGAACTTAACAGTGTTGTGGAAATGGAAAGCAGGGTCTTGATTTTATAGTTAAATTACCAAGGTAGGATCACTGAGGCTTAGGAATAGAGGATGAAGAGGAGCTGAGGATGACTCAGGCTCTGTGACAAGGCAGAGTTGAAAGTATATTGAACAGAAGTAAGTCACGTTATAGTTTTTACATTGTTATGATGATGACATCCTACTGTATAGCTTGCAGTAGGAAATTTGAGCCTGGAATTTAGAGAAGGATGTAGACTTATGATAAAGAGGTATAAATTAAAGTCTTAGGAGATGATAAGTCTCAAAGGGAGATACTAGAGAAAGATAAGAGTGTCTGAGGCTGTAGCACCATTAATGTATTTTTCCTCCAGAAGTTATCTGCATGAGAGATTCTGCAAGCTTACCTATTTGCTATAGGCCCTTTTCTCCAGGAGGTGTAGTGAGAAGAGCATAGACTTTGGAGTCAAGCACTCTGGATGTGAACCTAGAGCGAACTGTGACTCTTAGAGGCGATATGGATGTAAAGTGCCTGGCTCATAGGAGGCACACACACCGAGTGTTCTTTCAAATGAAATAAGTATTTGAGGAATGAGAAAAGGAAGAAGAGCCCAAAAGGGAGGGATGTGAAAAGCTGAGCCCAGATAGTGTGGTCTTTCAGCACAAAGGACGAGGATGTAGTGGTCACTGGGGTCCAACCCTACAGAGAAGTGCAGGAGAATGAGGACTAACAAGCTCAGTTTTTGTTTAACTTAGTGCTCCTTTCACTACTAATTCCTGCAAACTCCCTGAAAAACTCCATTTTTCTCTTGTTTACCAACATCAGAATGTGGTACCAAGTAGGTGTTCATTACATAACCAGTGGATAGATGAATGGAAGAAAGAAGGATATGTTACTTTTGTAATTAGAAAAAAACATTTTAAGCGAGTACACTTTCAGTAAAATATAGAATATGTGTCATGATTGCAGAGAAACAAGATTAACAATGAGAATTAAGACTCATATATGAGTCTTCCCTTGTTCCACAGAATGAATATGCTGATTGAGATTTTATTTTATACCTAACATACTGTTCTTTTCAGACAAGGGAGAACAATTAAGCAATTTTGAAACTGTGGGCTGAAACAACAGTGAATTTCAGTAAGTTTAAAGTAGTACAACCCTATTTCTTGAGGGTTAGGTTTTTTCTAAACTTACTAAAATTCCTCTCATTTTGGAAAATAAGCCTGAAACTAAGATTTTAAGGAGTTGAAAATAATCCTTCATCCCTGTAGACTGTATTGGAAGTCTGATTGGTAAGGGTTGAGTCTTTTTGTTTTTTGGGTTTTTTTTGTTAATATTTTGGGAAATAAATTTTCCAGAGGTCTTCTAAAGAATTACAGTATTTTAGGAAATAACAAGATCTGTATTAATCAGTTCTCCAGAGAAACAAAATGAACAGGATGTATATACAGAGAGATTTATTGTAATTTATTTTAAGGAGGTGGCTCATGCAGTTGTGGAGGCTAGCAAGTCCAAAATCTACAGTGCAGGCCAGCAGGCTGGAGACCGAGGGAATTCTGCCTAACATAATACAACTTTCCAGCGTACAACTGAAAACGCACTGATTCCTGTCCCCGTAAGAGGAAGCAAAGTCCCTGGGGAAAGCTGCTTATTCTCCTTGATATCCTGTAACTTAAATACTATGATGCAAAGTTAATGACACTTAAATACTCTGATATAAAGTCAGTATAACTTATATTACATGATAAGGGAATAAGAAAGAGAAGAAATTTTATATATATAGATACACACACACATTCATAACAAAATGAGGAATACTCATGACAGTTACAGTTCTCACTTCTTTAATTGGTCATGTAATTATAGCTGGTATTTATAACCACCTTCTTCTACTACCCAGTCTGTATTCACTTTGCCTTCAGCAAGCACCTCAGCTGGTCCTGGTTCTTTGCTTCATGGGGTGACCCAAACCTTCATTCCTGAAAGGTCTGGGCCATTACTTGTCCTCCCTGGATTGGGTTGTTGTGGTTTTCCATTGACCTTAATCACAGGATAGGGTAATACTAAGAGATTCGCTAGGGATCTCCTATATTCCAGACATACTCTCCCTTACCTCCATCATGGAGTAGCAGTCCAGTTTCCTCTTGGCAGACACAATCAGTCACCCCAGCCAACACTGTAACTCCCTTTGCCTGTTGATTCAAAGGCATGAAGAGCCCAAACTGGCCAGGTGGCAGTCTTAACTTCCAGTTCGGTGGAATCATTGTTGTAATTTAAGTTCATCTTCGATATATGTATTTGAGTAGGGACACATTTATTCTAAAATGCACCTATTATGCAGTTAATTCACCTGCAGTAAAGTAAAATAGGGTATTAAGCAGAGACGGCATGCTGGTATCATTTATCATCAAATTAGGGAGGCAAGATTCTCTAATGCAGTGAATCTTGAGCCATGTATGGATTCCTTTTCATGAAAAAAAAATGCTAGCAGAAATGCTAAGTGCTGACTTAAAACATTTTTATATTAATTTATTTAAATATGTGCAAACACTACACTAGATATAAAACCTTTATGCTTACTATATTTATGTATGAAACCCAAACTCATTTATAAATAAAGTACAAGCAAAACCACAAAAACAATAATGTTCACATCAACAGTGAGTGAAGATAGTGGATTGATTTTGCCAGAACTACCTTGCTACTCCACATGGACCCAGAGATGGTCCTGGTGGCTGTGACAGAGGCTAGTTTTCATGCAGCTCCCCTGAGATGTTTGTGCCCTGCGATGGGCCGGCTATCTCACCACTTGTCTCACCTGAATGACTGCGAAACCTTTTCTCCATCACAGCTCACTCTGTGCCATCACTTATTTAGGTGTCAAATACACCTCTGGGCTTTTCTCATTAGCCTGTGACAAATAAAGCTGTACACTTTTTTGAACATTGTTTGTCACATAGTTTTATGGTATTAAAGTCTCAAATTAGTAAATGGTTTAATCTTCATGACATGAAAATGTCTCATTTGTAAATTATCACTGCAAAAGAGAAGTTTTTTTAACCAAAAAAATCAAAATGAGTAACTGAGAGATATGGGACAATTATGGATGAATATTGTCATTTTAGTGTTAGGACACGCCAGTGTGGGTAGCTAGACACGTTAATGAACCCACTAAAATAATGACTTTGATTTGCTGTAGGCGGTGGATGCCAAAAGTAGTAACAAAACAAAATAGAGCACTAAAATTGTATGTCAGCACTTGCCAAATGGCCATCCATATAATTCTGGATATACTTGTGTTCATTGTTTTTTAAATTATTGTCAAGTTAAAAAGTTTCTGTGAACAACTCACAATCTCTCAAGAATACAACTAAGGACATTCAGAGGTCTGAGGTACCCAATTTGAGAAACACTAATGTGTTGGAAAACATACTAAACCTTGAAGACCTGTTGGATACAAGCTGCTGAATTGTTGTGAGAACGTAGGCAAGTTACTTAACCTCTCTGGGCATCGAATTCCTGATTTGTGGCTGACGTCAAGCCCAGGTTTGCTAGACTTCAGAGTCCCTGCTCTTCCTTCTTCAGTCAAAAGGCTCAGACTTTGAGTTTCTAGAATTCTGTATTGGGCTTATATTTCAATCAATAGCCTCAGAAAATAGGGTCCTGACAAGAAATGTTATGTGATGGTGGGCTCCCCTGGAGAGTCACATTATTCTTTGAGATTATACCCCTTTTAAAGCCCTCACTTTTTTTCATTATAGATTCTGATTCCCAGCATAGCCATGAAGTGATGCCTCTCCTCTATCCTCTCTTTGTCTACCTCCATCTCAACCTGGTCCAGAACAGTCCGAAGAGCACAGTGGAAAGTTTTTACAGCCGCTTCCATGGAATGTTTCTGCAGAACGCTAGCCAGAAGGATGTCATTGAGCAGCTACAGACCACTCAAACCATCCAGGACATCCTGTCTAACTTCAAGCTTCGAGCATTCCTAGATAACAAGTACGTGGTCCGTCTCCAAGAAGACAGCTACAACTACCTTATCCGCTACCTCCAAAGTGACAACAACACAGCCCTGTGCAAAGTCCTCACCTTGCATATCCATCTTGATGTGCAGCCTGCCAAGAGAACAGACTACCAACTCTATGCCAGTGGCAGCTCCTCAAGAAGTGAGGGCAATGGCTTAGAAGGCACTGACATGCCTGCCCCTATTCTGCAGAACGAGGCTGCCCTGGAGGTCTTGCAGGAGAGCATTAAGCGGGTCAAGGATGGCCCCCCCTCCCTCACTACCATCTGTTTCTATGCCTTCTATAACACAGAGCAGCTTTTGAACACTGCAGAAATCTCCCCAGATAGCAAGCTGCTTGCTGCTGGGTTTGACAACTCCTGTATAAAACTGTGGAGTTTACGATCCAAGAAGTTAAAATCAGAACCCCATCAAGTAGACGTGTCCCGCATCCACTTGGCTTGTGATATTCTGGAAGAGGAGGTATGAATATCATTTTTTCTTCCCTACATCTGCCTTACTAATTTGCGTAGAATATTCTTACCAAACATGACAGATCTTATGGAAAATGGACTTCATTATCTCCCTCATCATAGAGCTACAGCCAAACTAATGCCATGTAACCTATAGCCGTTGAATTTCTGCTCTTCCCAACTTTGGAAGAGATGAAAACTATTTTTAACAATATTAACTGAATGTTATTAATGAATGGTCAGTATTTCTTACTATCTGAAATGTGGATAACATTGCTAAGCCTAATTAAAGACCTGTAGCTAATATTGAGATATACGGTAAACGTGTGTGGTGCATTTGTGCGAATACAAACATTTAGAAGTAGGATTACTGGGTCAAACAGTCTACATTTTAAATTGTGATAAATATTGCCGTTTTTCCAGTCTCATCGACAGCAAATGAGAATACTGGTTTCTCTCCACCCCCACCAACACTAGGTGTTATCTTCCTTTCTGAGGCCAGTGCAGATCCTCTGGCCATGTGGCCCAGGGTGTTCCCATAGCCTGTTCTGAAAAGTACACAGGAGGTATACTTGAAATTTCATCCATCAGTCAGTACAATGATCTTCCTTGGTTTCTTTGGGATAGTCGTTGAAAAGGGCAGGCTGACTGGCCTGAGTTTCGGGTCACTGAGAGTCACTGCCTTAGAAAAAATGTGGGCAAAATGAGATAGAAATTGAACTTTACACAGTTAACTTTCCCTGAGAGTGGCCCCACAAAAACTGTGGGCTAGAATATTTTTGTCATATTACCACTGAAATTCAGGTAGCTCTGCCTCAAGTTACTTTTGGATGGCAAATTCTTTGCACAGCGTTGAAAAGTTGAGTTTAAAAAAAAAAATCACTTGAGTTAATTTCCAGTTGCTGATAAGGATAGCAAGAATATTGCATGCATAAGTAAGCCGTTTTTTCCTATTTCTGTTTTCTCAATCACTTTCTAGTTAGTATATTAGTATGTTCTTTGTTTCTTGCAACTGAGACAACGTAATTAGAGGAGTTTGTTATGGTGAGCAAAGAGTCTAAATTCCAATGTGCAACCTTTGATTTCTAGAATTTTATAATACCCTCCACAATATTTTTCATTGCACATGTATTTGAATTATCAAATTTCTTTTTTCTTTGGAGACAGTTCTAACCTCTTGGGGATTCCTCACATACAACGGAGGAATACTGCCCTCATTTACTTTCAATTTTCTCTAAATACCAAAAAAAACTATTCCTACTGACCTTATTAGCTTTATTGATCCTGAATTTGAGGATTGTTCTAGGCATTAAATATTAATATAAAGGAAGGTAGCAAAGATAGATACAAAGATGGAAAGAATATTAGACTAAAAAAATTTTAAGATTCTCCCGTGGCTACCATTGAAAACTAGCCTTTGACTTGTTCTGTGAAGGTTTCCAGGCATCAGAGGCATATATTTGAAGACCCAGAACTGCAAAATAACATGACAAATTCCAGGAGCTGAAAGAAATTAAATATGGCTGGAATGGGAGGGGGAGAACGGGAAGCAATGTGGTGCTGCTGTCTATGTGAGAGATTATGGTAGCCTGAACTAGGGTAGTGGCCTGGGGGAAAAGAACACAGTGGGTGGACTAGGCAAGAGCTTAGTTACTGGATTAAGGGAGGGGCTGAGGGAAAGGAAGAGTCGAGGATGACATCTTTGTCTCAGGCTTGAACTGGGTGAGTGATCGAGATGCTATCCACTTTGAAGAGAACAAAGGACGTCAGAGAAGCAATCGTTTTGTTTAAGTATCTTTCTGGTTTATTTATCATTATTCATATTGAAAGTACTGTAGTAGCCTCTGCTTTTTTTGAAAAGAAACTTTTTTTCGTTTTTAACTTTAGAACTAAAGTTGAGATCCTCTTACTCTGTCGTTGAGGGATTTCCTGTTTAAGATTTCTTCTCCCCCACCCACCCTCACCCACACCCATTTGTCACAGTAGTTTGCTTTTTGGTTTCTGACAGAGCATTTTGGGGGGAAAAACAAGGTATAAATTAGTTCTGATAGTTGGTTTTCAGTGTTTCTTCAATGAGAACTTGGACTTTCTTTTTTCCTTGTGGAATTCACAATTAAAATCAATTAAAATCAAGACTCTGAACACAGAGGTCATAAACTCACACTCCTGTAGAAGAAGCCAAGCAGGTAAAAGTAAACGGGGAAGCCACCTGGGTCACAGAGATGACAGGAAGTAAGAAAGCGCCTTGTAAACCAAGTAGAAAAGCCAGTTTGCAATCTCTGCTTTAATCTTTGTGAAGCAGTAATTGTTGCATAAATTAGTGGATAAAATAGTTTAACATTAGATATTTAAACAACGATGAGACCCAGCAAGTCCATTTCTTGGTGTACACCCAAAAGAACTGAAAACATATGTCCACACACAAACTTGCACACGAATGTTCATAGCAGCATTATTCATATTAGCCAAAAAGTGGAATTACCCCAAATGTCTATCAGCTGATAAATGGATAAACAAAATCTGGTCTGTCCATACAATGAAATATTATTCAACCATAAAAGGGAATGAAGATACGTGATATATGATACATGCTATAATGTGGATGAACCTTGTAAACATTATGCTAAGTAAAAGAAGCCAGTTGCAAAGGACCACATGTTGTATGATCCCATTTACAGGAAATATCTAGAGTAGGCCCATCCATGGAGACAGAAAGTAGATTAGAGGTTGCCAGGGGCTGGGGACAGGGGAATAGGGAATGACTGCTAATGGGTACAGGGTTTCTTTTTGATGTGCTGGAAATGTTGTCTACTAGATAGTTAGGATGGTTGCACAATTCTGTGAATATACTGAAAACCATTGAATTGTACACTTTAAAAGAGTAAATTTTATAGCATGTTAATTATATCTCGGTTCACAGCACTGCCCTGTAGCTTCTATCATCTCCAACTTGAAGACAGTCTAGATGAACCTTTGAAAATCTGTGAATTGGTATCCAGTTCTCCTCTGCCCACCCCAGTACTGGTAGCCTCTCCTCCTACTTCAGACACGAGAAGTGGAGAGTGAGGCCCTTGCTCTCCATTCTTTGTTCCACACCAAATGGAAATAGAAATGAGACCCAGTTCTTACCCTTGTTGATTGGTAACTATGTATTAATATTTGAGCAACATGGTAAAACCACACCACATCAAGGATTTGCTCTTCTTTTCAATTATGTGTACATGGCCACCCTCATCCCTGCCAGCCTCCTGCCTCCTCAGCCCTCCAATACAACACCTGTATTCTGTTCATTTAGTGTCTAGTAATTCTTCCCCCAATCTGGTCATCTTTAAGTGTGAAAAGTGAAGAAATCAGTATTGTCAGTAATATTCAATCCTGTAATTTGTATATAAAACTGTCATATAGATCTATGCTGGCCACTAGGAATATAATACAATCCATAAGTTATTTAAATTTTTGTAGTAGCCGCATTTAAAAAAGCAAAAAGGAATAGTCAAAACTAATTTTAATAATGTATTTTATTCAATCCAAAATGGCCCAAATATGAGTTCAACATGTAAGCAGTATAAAAAATTTATTAATGAAATCCATTACATTCTCCTTTTTTGTCCTAAATCTTGGAAATCCAATGTGTATTTTACACTTCCAGCAAATGTGCATTCACACTAGCCAGTAGCCACCTTTTCTATTCTAGTTCAGGCTCCTGTCATCTTTCACACAGATAGCAGTGCCTCACCCCCAAGCCCAGCCATACATAAATTTCTTTCAGTTCCATTGGCAGCTAATTAGGGAACAGCCCAAGGCTGAATTTTGACCCCAGAAAGTACCCTTGATGTAGGAAAGACTGGAATGTGAGCTGAGGGACTTGGAACAGCCTGCTCCAGGAACAGACACCCATAACAAATGTGAGATATTTAGAGACTCCATGTCTAAAGCAGGGGTCAGCAAACTATGGAACTGGGGTGTGTAAGACAATATTTGAAGATTTATTTATACTTGTTTTTCTTATTTTTAAATTTCTATTTTATGCATGTTTTATAGTATATGTAATATAGTTTGCTATTACACGAATATGTGTTACAATTAAAAATTCTTATTTGGAATGCATGCCCGTTTACTGTGGGGTGTTCCATCAAAATTGTAGGGAGTTTTGGGATGTTGTCCTATTAGCATGAAAGGAAGGAGAGAGAAAATGTGTGGGGTTGGGCATGTGTGAATCAACTACTTGTTCAGGGTTTCAGCTCGACTGTGTTGAGGCCCTTGTGGGACTGGCTTGAGCCACAGAAGAAAGTGTGGCTGGGTTATTTTAAGCTGTGGTCCTGGCAAAGAGCTGATAGTGATAGCCAGCAGGAACGTTCTGGTTTCCCCATTTCTTGGTCTATAGAGTCAGCCAGGTGCCTTTCCATGAGCAGGAACAATCATCAAGACCCCTGGGAAGTAGCAGCTTGACTCCTGGTGCACCCTCCGCTCTCCGTCTCTGAGCACACTGTTTAGTTCCCCACCAGGGAGGTGAAGACCCACCTTCCATGACTTCCTCCTCCAAACGAAGACTGCCTAGGCCTCAGAGATAGTAACATGCCCTTTAATTCACCATTAACTTTCAAAGGATCTTTGTATAATTCATCCAGGGTCGTTTTTTGCTCCCACAGTTCTTATATAAACTTCCTGGTGTAGAGCAGTGAGTCATTCTTGAAATTTTAAAGTGTTGTTATAACCTCTTTGGAAAGGAAAATTACTAATATTCTTGATGACAGTAGAACCTTAAGCTTCCAAATGCTTATGTATTTTTAATGTTGAGTGTCTGGAATAGCCAGTTTGGATATTCATGGACATCAGTGTTTATTTTCTCTTAACTTTTTCTCAAATATGTACACATTGGAGGCATTTGTTTTATCTGGAATTTAATAGTTTTCAGATAGAAGTTGTAAGGATGCCCTTTTCCTGTACAAGAACCAAAGGCTCACAAAGTTATTTGTTTCTAAGCCAACAAAGTCAATTGGTTCAAGAATCTTCATCTTACTGATCATTCTTCTGGTGTTTAATTAAAACCCATTTTAATTTATGAATTCCAGGATAGAGACAGCTGTAGTTTTAAGGAGCTTGTCTGTGAGGAAATGAAGGGAAAGTAGATTTTGAACACAGACAGTGTACTTGTGGGGAAGAGGGTGGGGAAGGGCACTTTCTCCCTAGCACCGTCAGTGTCTGTCTTCTTTTCTGTCCCCACACACAGGAACTTATCTCCAAAAACCACATGAGTCACTTGGCTCTGTGCAAAGCAATGCTGAATCCATGCCTTGTCTTTTATTTTGGGAAAATATTTAAGACCCTCCAGAAAGTCATGGTTTTAAAACTTTATCTTTGTTTCTTTTTGGACACCAGCTGTGTACGCCTGGTCACAGGGTGTGAGTGTAATTTATTGATAACTGCACCTTTCTGGCTTACTATTAATTCTGATATGTCCAAGTTTTATTTTAGCTAAACTCCTACAATAGTTATGTATTAATTTTGAAGTGAGACCACATCTGCCTTCATCATTGACCCCAATCATGGGAGTAATGAACATGTCAAGATTTTTCTTAATGGACTAGAAATAAGGAGTAATATGGCTTATAAAAAAGCAGCTAAAAGTGACAGATAAGACATGCCCATAGAATACAAGAATCTCAGAACTCAACATAAATTCAAAAGTAAATCTTTTCGAATGACGTATATCAGAATTAGCAGTGAACGTTTCCGTAGGGTACCTTTTAATCAGCTTTTGAAATCTGTTATCCTCAACCTAAGAGTCATAGAGAAATGATTGTGGACCTTACAGCAGCCTGGCATTTCTGCATCTTTTGATTTGATATAGTCTTAGCTGCAAGACGAATTTAAGGAAAGCAATTTGTGAGTTGTTAGAGACTTTTTTTTCAGTTATGCAGTTATGAGTTGTTTTCTGTGATCACCTTTAAGGGCAAGACCATTGTCATTTACTGGGTAGATGCTATTTCCCAAGCAGTGTCTTTTTTTTGAGGACTTTTTGTTTTCCGTGGCAGACCACTAAACATTTTTTTTTTGTGTATCTCCTTTGCCATCTCCACCCCAATGTTCCCAGGATGATGAGGATGATAACGCAGGCACAGAGATGAAGATACTGAGGGGACACTGTGGACCAGTGTACAGCACAAGGTTCCTCGCAGACAGCTCAGGGTTGCTCTCTTGTTCCGAAGACATGTCCATTAGGTACTGGGACCTCGGAAGTTTCACCAACACTGTGTTGTACCAAGGACATGCCTATCCTGTGTGGGACCTGGACATAAGCCCATATAGCCTGTACTTTGCCAGCGGGTCCCATGACCGCACTGCAAGGCTGTGGTCATTTGATCGGACGTACCCACTGAGAATATATGCAGGACACCTGGCAGATGTGGACTGTGTCAAATTCCACCCTAATTCAAACTACTTAGCTACAGGCTCAACCGACAAGACTGTCCGGCTGTGGAGTGCTCAGCAGGGGAACTCCGTGAGGCTCTTCACAGGCCACCGTGGCCCTGTGCTTTCTCTTGCCTTTTCTCCAAACGGTAAGTACTTGGCATCAGCTGGCGAGGACCAGCGTTTGAAGCTATGGGACTTGGCTTCTGGGACCCTTTATAAAGAATTAAGAGGCCATACGGACAATATCACCAGCCTCACCTTCAGTCCTGACAGTAGTTTGATTGCCTCTGCATCCATGGACAACTCTGTGCGAGTCTGGGACATTAGGAACACTTACTGCAGTGCACCTGCTGATGGCTCCTCCGGTGAACTCGTGGGTGTATACACCGGGCAGATGAGCAATGTACTGAGTGTGCAGTTCATGGCCTGTAACCTTCTTCTAGTGACTGGAATCACACAAGAAAATCAGGAACATTAATTTTTTTATCTTTGTTGTAATGGACTGGGGCAATAGTAGAAGGCCTCCAGATTGCAAGTCTTACGACAAACTGAGATTGAATCACTGACTGACTGTGAAAGACTCCCTGCCTCCCTCCCTTCTCCTGTGCAGACATCCTGATCACCTTACCCCTTCACTCAGCCCCCCCAAATGTCGAAGGACTGTGGGGGAGGAAACGCGGTGATAAGTGGACGTGAGATCAAGAATGAAGATGCTCTGGAGGTCAGATTGCAGTTCTTACAAAGATCCCACTGTGTCCTCATGTGAGCACCTTCCTGGCTCTGTCTCATTTTCCCATTTGTAAAACCGAGATGCTGCTTCCTTCCCTGGGTGCTGCATTTGGTCTGAGGATGGTGGCAGAGCACTCTCAGGAGGAGCAGTGCTCCAGGGTCACGTGTTATCAGTCGCTTGGGTGGAAGGGAATATTGGTGTAGGAATGCGGGGTGGGAACTAGGAAAAGGGGTGGACATAATCCTGGTAAAAAGTCTTTCCTTTTCCATAATTACAGAGAACCAGGATTTTTTATTATTGTTATTATAATTATTATTATTATTGAGAAGAGGAAACCTAGCACTGGCAGAGGGGCCTTCTCTGCTCTCCTCTTTCAGGTTTTACTCCTGGCACTGGCTGTGATACTTGGAATTTTGAGGTTCAGGGAATTCAGAGAATTTGATAGCACAGTGTATTGGAAGAAAGGGAAAATTTCTGGGTGACAGATTGATCCCTCCACCTGACATGTTTCTAGCAATGGGTGGGTGGATTTGATTGAGAAAGTCTTGGGCTCTTGCAGTGATGGTGGGAAGGAAAGATTCTTTTTATGGCTGCACTTCTATTAACAATTCTCTCCCCTGAAAGGACATGTTGTGGTAAAGAAATGAAGATAATTTCAAATGATGAAAGATAGAATTAGAAAATTAGATTGAATTTCCAAATGACCGTTTATTCAGAGGTGTGGCTTTTTCAACGTCTTTTTCTCCTGAGATCATCCGCTCCCACCTCCTGCATTGCAATAGCAGTTTAATGAACACTTTGTGAAACAAATTGTAAGTATGTATGCACGCATATAAAACTATGCTTTGAGGATAAAGCAACTTCTAATTTGTGGAAAAAGGATTAAATATTTCTGTTTTCTGAAAAGAGTTATTTTGTATTTTGTTTTCTATTAAAATGTATTTAGTTTCAAAAAAAAAAAGAAGTGTTGGCATCTCATTTAAAGTGTGAGGACAGGTGGGTGTGTGGTCCGTCCTGGGGTGATGTGGCAGCTCACCTCTCTTCAGGGCGATAGCCAGTTATGCAGGCCAGACCAGCCTCGGTGGAGGTGCTTTTGATCTGTTCTTGTATGCTGTTCAGCTTACTTTGAATCATGATTCCTCTTGGCATTCACATGAATTACTGATAGTATTTAATACTATTTATACATCCAAGATTGCCAATTGCTAACTGAAGACAACATGTATTTTACCATCTAGAGTTATGTGGTAAGATCCTACTTCCAGTTTTCTTTAAAGGCCCTATTATAAAATCTCTAAGTGGCATAAGAACTGTGTTATTTAATTAACTCAGTATTTATTTGAACAATTCCAGATAAAGAACTCATTCAAGGATTTAAATGATGCCAGAATTTTTAAAATGTACTTTAAAACATAATTTTCTGACAAGGACACCAAAAATTATCAGGAAATTAATAGGAAGACTCTAGAATTCTATCCAAAAAAAATTTTTTTTACTTGAGCCTAACATGTTAATTAATAGGAAATATTTCTTATTGATAAAAATCCACATATTGGAGATACTGTAAGAAGGATCCTTTGGCAGCTTAGCCAGACAGCATCACCTTCCAGGTGGTCTACAGGTAAAGCCTAGAATTCAAATGTGTTCTTATCTGTAATAAGGGAATTCTTAAGTTAGATTGTGTGGTATATTGCTAGAAACAATGAAATCTCTAAATTGGGCTGAATCATTCTCAGAACTGAAAATATCACTGATCAAGGAGGATTTGGAAGCTTTGTGCTTATTTTTTAATGCAGAATTTCTTTGATTATATATAAAAATGTATTAGGTTCGCTAGTCTTCACATTACCAATCACATATATACGTTGTGATTTCAGTTAAAGCTCTTAATGATCTGCATATTTGACTTTTTTTTTCTTTTGTGAACTGATTTTAATGGGAGATAATTTAACTTTATAGACTGCCTCTCACTACTTCTCCAAAATCTTAGAAGTATTATAAGGGGTATGTATGTGTGTATATGTCCACAAGGGTGTGTAAAAATGTGGTTACACTCTTGAAGTTGCTCTCTTGCATTGTTTTATTTTATCTTCAGAGCAGTCATGTGAGACAGGACTGGTGGTAACACCATTTTGTAGGTGAAATACATAAAGACCAGAAAAGCTGTATTATCTGTCTACACCCAACATGGAATAGTCACATGTCTTGGATGTGTTAGATAGAGAGTCTATAATCAGTATCCTCAGGTTCTAGCCAGAGGATATAGCCCTGAAGATAGAAAAACTTTTTTAAAAAAACCTCCAAAAAGGAAATATGAATATAAATAGATTATTTAACAAGCATATATATAGTGCTTACTGTCTGCCAGAAACCACTCCAAGAGCTGTATGAAAATTAACTTATTGTATCCCCATTAGAACCCTATCAGGTATCCCAATTTTACAGATGAGGAATCTGAGGCAGTGACAGATTAAGTCACTTGCTGAAAGGGTCACACTGCTAATAATCGATGAAGCTAGAATCCATGCTCTTCTCCATGCTGATGTCTCCCTTCATTCCTGCAGGACCAGGTAGAGTGATCTGAGGTTTGTAGTAACAAAATGTTCCTGGCAGTAGTTCTAAGACTCATGCTTCCCTTTGCCAAATAAATCAGCAGCAAGAAGTAGGATCAGGAACTGACAGTAAGAACAAACTTAAACAATATATGGCCAAAAGAAACTTAAGAATATCAGTTATAGTGAACCACAGTGATATAAGGTTGAAATTTCTTAGACTGACAGGCTCAGGAAACCTGACTGTAATTTTAATTAAGCAGTAGACTGGCCAAACGAAAGAGAGAAAATTAAGATAAAGGAAAGTAATGAAAAAAGATGAAACAGGAAACAATTTAAATTTTTATGTTCAAGATCCAGCTTCTAAGAATATCCATGTAGTCATGTATTAAAAATGTCTTGGTTGTATAAAAAAATCTATTGAGTATATAGGCTTCTAATTTTGCTATTGCGCAGACTGGTACTTAAGTATATAGATTAAAAGATTAGTCTATACTTCAACTTGTCTTTCAGTTGCATGTTTTAGAAAAGTATCCATTATATTTATGCCCAGCCCACACCAAAAATTCATATTATTGACACCTACATAGCAGCCAAATGATTCTGAAACTGCTTTGTGGTAAACAGAAATTTTCAATATAGAGTTCAAGGAATGTAAATGTTCCTTGCCAGTTTAACCCATTGAAGGACAACTAGGATACTTTCCTATGATTGTCTGAAATTCCTAAAAGAAATATTTTTATATTAAATATCTGAATGTCTGTTATGGTCAGACATTGTGTTAGTGGGTGGAAATACGGTGGGAAGGAAAATTGACATAGTCTCTGGCTCGAGTTTATTGTTTAAAGAGGGAGGCAGATATTAATCAAACAACGCCATAAATAAGTTTAAGATTTCCAACTGTAGTGAGAGTGCTATACTGGATGCTATGGAAGAATTATACCCAGAGTGCTTTACTGGATACAGTGGAAGAATATACCCAGGGATCTAATTTAGATTAATCATTCAAGGAGGGCCTCCGTAAATCAGTAATAATGAATCTGAGACCTGAAAGATAAGTAGGAGCTAGCCAGGCAGAGTTCAGGAAAGAATGTTCCAGACCCCCAAATGGGGAAGAACTCAAAGAAGTCCAGTGAGGGTGAGGCAATGTGAATAAGGAACAGAACAACATGACATGAGTTTGGATAATTGGCAGGGCTTTGGGCACCGTGAGGTGTTTGACTTTTATCCCATGTGGGATGGAAACCATTGAAGGGTGTAGAACAGGGAAGTGATGCAGTCCGGTTTCCACCTAAATGTCACTGGCAACAGGAGGACATAGATAACATATTTACAACTGGAATCCCACTTCAACATCAGGATAACTAAGCAACATTTACTGAACCCAGTCCATGCCAAGCACTGCAGGTCAGAGCTGAACGATGGAAGCCAGCTGCATGTGGAGTGGCCCCTGGAGCAGTGAACTGAAAGCAGCCTCCAACCAACAGCCCGTGAGGACCTGAATCCTGCCAACAACCACAGAAGTGAGCTTGGATGCAGATCCTGCCCTGGTCAAGCCTTCAGATAAGATTGCAGCCCTAGCTGACGCCTTGATTGCAGCCTCCTTGAGATAGAGGCATCCAGCTAAGTCTGCCCAGATTCCCAACTCACAGATACTGTGAGATATTAAATGTTGTTTTAAACCACTAAGGTTTGGGGTAATTTCTTGTGTAGCAATAGATAACTAGCCCATCTGTCATACTCCACAGTCCATTCTTTTAATTGTTACACTATAGAAAATGACATAATTACTGATTCAAAAGAAAAAAATCACTGTAGCTGTAGGTAACATAGATTGAGGGTATGAGAGTGAGAACGAGGAGGCCAGTTAAGATCATTGCAGTTGTCTAGGAAAGAGGTGACGGCAACATGGACTCGAGTGGCCACAGTGAAAAAGGAGAGAAGTGGACAACTCCAGTGAATATTTTAGAAGTGGATTTGGCTGGACTTGTATTGGGTTGGATGGGCAGAAAAGAAGAAAGGAATCATGGATGACCCACATGTTTCTGGCACGGGCAACTTGGTAGATAGAGTTGCCATTTATTCTGATGAAAATACTTGAGGAAGATGAGGTTTGGAGGAAAAGATCAAGTGTTCAGTTCTGTACCTCTTAAGTTTGAGGTGCTTATGAGAGAACCAAGTGAAGATAGACTGGCATTTCCATAGACATGCCTGGAACTCAGAAGAGAGGTCTCGGCTTCACATGCTAATTTGAGTGTTGTATTCATTAGAGTACTTTCTGCTATCAGAGACAGAAATCTGACTCCAAGTAGTTTTAAGAATAAGGAATTTTATTGATTCACATAACAAAGTATAGAGGTCAGGTGGGTTTCATGTGCCACTCAATAAGGACCCCACCTCTGCTCTGGTCTCTTCTGTGGTTGGCTTTTATCACAGGCTGGCTTTTCCCATGGTTGTGAGAGGATGACCGACAGCAGTGAGAGCCAGACACCCCCCTCATTCACGTCTAGTGGGAATGTGAGCTTACTTTCCATTCCTCATTATTAAGAGCAAGCAAAAAAAATTTCTAGAAGCCCCATCAAAACTCTCCGGTTTGGATTAGGTCTGCTCCTCATTGAATCAATCCCTGACAAGGATAAGAGTTGTTGGCATGTAATTGGAATTTGAAGCCTTGCAAATAGATGTGATTACCAAGGATAAGAGCATAGAGTGAGAGGAGATGAGGGCTTCAGACTAGCCTTGAAGTTCTCCAACATTCACAGGTCAGAAAGGAGGAGCAGCTAACAAAGGAAGGAAAACAGGAGAAGGTACTTCCCCAGAAGACAAGATGAGAGAATACCTCAGGATGGGAGTGGTCAGCTGTGCTTATGCTACTGAGAATTCAAATGGGGTAAGGACTAGAAAATATCCACTAGATTTGAGGGGAGGTGGCTGACAGCACTAGCAGGTATAGCTGAGTAATGGAAATGGAAAGAACATTGAAATGGATTGAAAAGTGGAAAGGTAGTCGAAACACAAATATGGGCACTTCATTTATGACAGGTGATACATACAGCAATGGAGGAAGGACAGACTTTTTGCTATACAGTGCTAAGACCATTGGCTATCCAAGGGAAAAAGTGAAATGAGACCCCTACCTCACTATATACAAAATCAATTCCAGGGGCCGGCCCGGTGGCGCAGCAGTTAAGTTTGCACGTTCTGCTTCTCGGTGGCCCGGGGTTCGCCAGTTCGGATCCCGGGTACGGACATGGCATCGCTTGGCAAAAGCCATGCTGTGGTAGGCATCCCACGTATAAAGTAGAGGAAGATGGGCATGGATGTTAGCTCAGGGACAGGCTTCCTCAGCAAAAAGAAGAGGATTGGCAGTAGTTAGCTCAGGGCTAATCTTCCTCAAAAAAAAAAAAAAAAAATCAATTCCAGGTAAATTAAAGACCTAAATATGAAAGACAGAACTATAAAGCACTTAAAAGAATATCCTCAGAACCTTATAATAGGAAGAAATTTCTAAAGAAACTAAAAGCCCTAACCAAAAAAGGAAAGATTGATTAAATTCAAAAACTCATTAATCAAAAGACAGACTGTGAACGTGAGAAGATACTTAATAACACTTGAGCAACAGAGACGAATGTCTAGAGCAGTGCTGTGCCGCAGAAATGTTCTCTAGTTCTGTCCTGTCCTGTAGAATGTTCTGTGAGGAGGGAAAGGTTCTGTAGTTGTCTGCTGTCCAGTAATGTATCTGCTAGCCACATGTAGCTATTGAGCATTTGAAATATGGATAGTATCGTTGAGGAACTGAACTTTTTTATTTTATTAATTTAAATAACCACCTGAGAGTAGTGGCTAACATATTAGACTGGAGAATTCTAAAATTTACAAAGAATTCCTACAAATCAGTGAGAAGAAAGGGTATAGTCAATGGGGAGAAAAGGCAAAAGTCTTAAAGAGAAGTATTCGCGAAAGAAATCCAAATGGCCAATAAACAAATTAAAAATTGCTGAACCTTATATTACTCAGGGAAATGCAAATTTAAAACCATTGGATACCATTATACACCCATCAGGCTAACAAGGTTGTAAAAGGCTGACAACGCCAAGTGTTGGTGCCTCGGGCCCCTCCCACACTGGTGAAGCTGTAAATTTGTAGCCTATGTGAGAAGCGGTATGGTGTTCCCTAGCAAAGTTGAAGAAAGGCATACTCTGTTGTTACCAGCAATCCCACTCCATGGTCGAGAAATGCTTACATCCGGCAGGATACATAGACAGAAATATCCATGGCCACCCTGTCCGTCATTTCCCAAAGCTGGAAACAAACTACATGCCCATAAATAGAAAGGATAGATACATTATTGAATAGTCATATAGTGATAAACTCTACAACAAGAAAAATGGACAGCTGAGAGCTGCAAGCAGCGACGTGGATATCCTTAGTGTTGACTGAAGAGCAAGAAAAATTACTCCTACAGAACGATTCCATTTACATAGAGTTTAAATCAGACAAAACTACCGGTCTATTTTAGCATGTGTACAAAGACAACAAAACTAAGGGAGGGAATGGAAGGGTCCTGAGCAGAAGATGCTCAAGTGTCAGGGAGGTTCTATTTTTTGACTCAGGTGCTGGTTACCCCAGTGTGCACCGGAGAGCTGTTGATTATGTGGTTCAAAGAAGCTTTACTTCATTATGTTTAAAACATTTCTAAAAGTGAGAAGGAGATGAGAAAGTAGAGAGTGGAGCTAGGGTACAGACAGCTCTTGAGACACTTGAAGGGGGCAGAGATTGAGACGTGGAAGCAAGAAAGAATTGTTTGCAGGTTTGTTTTGTCTGTTTTAATGAAAGTTCATAAAGCAGGTGCTTTCAAACTTTTAGTCATCAACCCACAATAAAAAATGTATTTTACACTGTGACCTAGTACGCACCTATGCTGGGTTTTATTGAACCTAAGACTCCATTGACTAGAAGAGGCACCATTATTTTATGTATCATTTTTTTAAACTGTCAATCAAATGACAAACAATGCTTTCTTATCACTTAGGAGTTTTATTTTATGTTTATTTAAAGCACTTTTATACTTACATAGTTTTTATAACTTAAGTGAAGTACATTGGGATTGGTGTTCTTAAAATTTCACCCTGCGTCCAACTTTTTTTTCTTTTTTTTTTTTTTTTGAGGAAGATTAGCTCTAAGCTAACATTTGCTGCCAATCCCCGTCTTTTTGCTGAGGGAGATTGGCCCTGAGCTAACATCCATTCCCATATTCCTCTATTTTATATGTGGGACACCTGCCACAGTATGGTAAGGTGTGCATAGGTGCACACCCAGATCCAAACCGGTGAACCCTGGGACACCAAAGTGGAATGTATGAACTTAACCACTGACCCCTCACACCCTGTGTCCAACTTTTTGAGTCAGTTATCAGTGTCTAAATTTTCTCCTCTTTGTCCTCAAATACATGTTTGATGGAACATCTTAAAAAAGTGTACCACTATTGTCTCCTAGATTTTCTTCTAAGCCATAGCATCCATTCTGCAAGGTCTGATGTTGGCACTTTCTTTATCTTAAGTGTCAACAGAAGCCTTTCAGAAACAACCAGGCTTCTTATTCCTTCCTTAAATTGTCCTGAAATATTCTGATGACTGAAATGAGTGGTTGCAGTCATGCAGCCCTGGCACCTGGACTAACAACCCATTTCACATGTCACAACTACCACCTGGCCAAGGTACCATCCAGTTGTCAGTCATATCCTCTTCTGATTCCAGGAATGTTCAAAAAAGTTTTTTAAATTACATCTTAGACTCAGGAGAGTGTAGTGCATTAAAAAAACCTTTCCATGCATGATGTACTGTGATATATAATTTTTAATACTGGTCACAACCCACTAATTCATTTCATGGCCCACTAATGAGGCCATTACATGCAAATTGGACAGTGCTGCCCTGGGGCCCATCTGAATGCTGGTGAGAGGAGTCCCGAGTGGGGAGGGGTAGGGAAAAGGGGCCTGGCTAGGGGAGAGGAGAAGGTAGAAAGGCTGGCATCAGAAGTCCTGGGGCCCGGGCCTTCCTCATTGCCTACAGGTGGGAAGAAAGAAAGGAAAGGAAGAGGGAGGGAGGCTGTAAATAAAAGAATGAGCTTCTGAACCAATATGATTTATTTGGGTTCACTCAGATTAATATTTCTGCATTAGGTTTTATTCACAAAACTCAGCTTTAACAGTGTGCTAACCAGAGCGAGCTGCTTAGCCTCTCTGGATTTGAGATTGGTTTTTCAAAACATGAAGGAAAAAAAACCACAACCTAGAGAGTTCAACCAATGCTGGCCATTCTGTCTGGGTCTAGTCCCAGTAATTCTGACCCCTTCCACTTGGCCTTGGTTCTCCCATAGCCCAGCGGTGTTCCTCTCCATCTGGTTTCCAGGAGAAGCAGTAGGATGTACAGTTTACTCCCTGCAGCAGTGCAGACACGGAATTCAGATGCTATGAAATGTGCCTACCTGTAAGAAAGCAATCTGGGCTTTTGCAGGGGGGGAAGAAGGATATTTTTGTCTGCTTGCTTAGTTTGGACTGGTGCAGGGGAAGGGCCCAGGGTTGATTTGCAGAATGTGGAATGCTGAGGCCTGAAGAGATGAAGCATGCTGTTGAATCCCAGCACATTTAAATATTAAATATTAAATTTTAATATTAAATTTTA